ATACATGGTTTTATCAATCTAAGTTAACAATATTGACCAAGGACGCAGTCCGAGGTCAATATTGCTAACCTAGGTCGATAAAACCATGTATCGACTGAAATCACCATGCTACAATAGTTTTATTATTTTAATTGATTTTTTTCAAAGTTGAAGAAAAAAATGTAATTTCCATTTTTTTTAGTCACAAATTTTAAAATTAACTAATCAAAAATATCAGAAAAATAACATTTTTTAATTAAATATCTGCAATAATCATTTAAATATCTGCAATAAGTGACTTCAGTGTTAATCTTGATCAGTACTGTGTTTGTCTCCCATGAGGTGTTAATCAAGCATCTAAATGACTTCACAAAAATTCCAGAATCTATTTATAGCAGGTTAATAACACTTTTTCTACCAACTTTTTTGAACACCTGCAAACCACTCAGGTTTATAACTACTTTTACAGGTGGTCACATGATGTTGTTTCAGCCAATCAGAGTCAGCTCAAAATCAATTAAAATAATAATTGTTTCTAGTGATGTTTTGAGTGTTATATCGGTCAAACTGGACGTATACCAGACCATGACAGTTGACGCACAACAAAATGTCCATAATGACTTGAGACGTTAACAATTTAAGCAATGCTAACACAAAAAATCAAGGTTAGCACTAAACACCAGATGTGTTATTCTGGTGCCATAAATAGAAAGTTCTTATGAAAATGTGGTCACATATGTCAAAAAAGTTCAATCAATTCACTGTTAAAAATGTCAACATATTTATATCAATTCACTGTTAACAATAGTCAAAATACATTAAACTATTCACTATTTACAAGTCAATATACTTCAATCCATTAACTATTCATAATAGTCAAATAGTGCTAAAATGTATCCTTTCATTGCTCACAGACGTCAAAATCATTCAATCTATTTACTGTTCATAGACGTCTAAATATTTCAATAGTACAAATGTAGTTCAATTGGTTCACAGTTGACAAGAATCGAAATAGCTTATTTTTTCACAATTATCAAAAGTCCGGTCAATAGTAACTGATGATTGACAGCAGTCAAAAAGTTCCTGTTTACAGGTTCATATGACGACTCCACATCAATGTCTGTTAATGCGTCAGTAAATGTTGACAAATCTACGAAATGTCAGTAGACCCTGTATTTACTAAATTTAACATTTATTCTCTAAAACGGCCATTACATGCATTCACGTTTAATAAACTGACTTTTAATTTTCTTTTCTTTTTTGTGGTTTTAAACAAAAAAATAAAGTTCAGTACATGAAATGTACGTTACCAATCTGACAGGTTTTAGAAACTCAAGTAACGAGTTTCTTTCCACATGTTTAGAACTGTTTCATTAGTGTATGTTTATGCCAGAGGACCGTTTTAGTTTAAATCACTTCCAACAAGTTTGTAAACATCTACAACACTCATTACAACTTCAATTTGGGAGGTGGGAAACATGTACATCAACCTCTAATATTTATCTGGAATTGTGCAAGGTACATAGCGTGCTCTTTACTTTTTCTCTAGAAAACGCGTCAGGAAACGGCCAATTTTCTCTGTTATAATTTTTATGCTGCGAATGACAGAAGTTATCAAGAGTACAGCCATTTCAATTGCGTATCATAAAACTTATGTATAAAACAAACTGAGTAAACAAACCAACTAGACAAGTGCCATATTGCTAAGTTTGTTTCAAAGCACACAGAACCAGACCCGGTTATCGTACCGGCAATGGTTGCCTGTGTTTAGGATTTGAATAAACGTTGACGGCGTCTCTATCGACAAGGTCATACCGATCTCTGAGACCGGTGGACGTTATGTGGCACAGGCGGCAACAGTCAGTGGTGGCAGGGAATTGTTTACGGTTTTATGACCGTGTTATGTGCCGAGTAATAGCCACAGTAGCGGTACCTAAGTAACCATTTCCAAGTAAACATGGCCGCCGTGACAGTAACAGGACCATGTAAACGAGCGTGTGTGTAGATGTTCAGAGGCAATCTGGCCGTGGAGAATGTAAACATGTTGGGCTAGCTTCGAACTTTTATTCCATCAACATTTACTTTTCTGATTTCTTTTAATCGGTTTATTTTAGAATGAAAGCAAAAAAGCAAAAAAAGCAAAAAGAAATCGAATAAGGGGAAATGGCGAAGACAATTTGTGAGCGTTCGTCCATAAAATGAAACAACAGGACTAAACCTCCACATTAAAAACGTGCACTTAAGTATTAGATAAAGTCATTGTAATGGAACATCTGTTACTAACACACTTTTTAACCTGTCCCGGGGGCAAATGTTGGGCTGTCAAAATTGGCAAAATACAAAAATAAACCATGAAAAATAGTGATTTTTACATATACACAAGTACATTTTCATTCAATGCAATGTTACAGAGGCAACTGATATATATATATATATATATATATATATATATATATTGTATATTCCTGTGGTACAAGACGGTACATGGTGATGTGTTGACAGTCGGGTACTTTATTAAGTTGTGACTATAGGTTACATGTTTAGGTTGTGACCGTAAGGTGTTTGGCTAGGTATAGACCGCAGAATGCATGGTTAAGTGTTGAGAGTCGGGTATATGATAAAGCTATGGCCGTATTGACCTTAGGGTACATGGTTAGGTATTGACCGTCGGGTACTTTGTTAGCTGTTGACCGTCAGGTACTTGGCTAGGTGCTGGCCGTAGGGTACATGGTTAGGCTGTGCCAGTAGGGTACTTGGTTATGTTTTATGATCAGCGGGTACTTGGTTAGGTTATGATCAACAGGTATTTGGTTAGGTTATGATCAGCAGGTACTTGGTTAGGTTATGATCAGCAGGTATTTGGTAAGGTTATGATCAGCAGGTATTTGGTGAGGTTATGATCAGCAGGTATTTGGTAAGGTTATGATCAGCAGGTATTTGGTTAGGTTATGATCAGCAGGTATTTGGTTAGGGTATGATCGGCAGGTATTTGGTTAGGTTATGATCAGCAGGTATTTGGTAAGGTTATGATCAGCAGGTATTTGGTAAGGTTATGATCGGCAGGTATTTGGTTAGTTTATGATCAGCAGGTATTTGGTTAGGGTATGATCAACATGTATTTGGTATGGTTATGATCAGCAGGTTTTGGTTAGGTTATGATCAGCAGGTACTTGGTTAGGTACACGTAAAGGTGTTGGCCATTGGGTACACGTTAAGGTGTTGGCCGTTGGGTACACGTTAAGGTGTTGGCCGTTGGGTACACGTTAAGGTGTTGGCCGTTGGGAATACGTTAAGGTGTTGGCCGTTAGGTACACGTTAAGGTGTTGGCCGTTAGGTATATATGGTAAGGTAGTGTTTTTGGGTACAGGTTAAGGTGGTGACTGACGGATGCTGAATGATCTGGTAACCAGCAGATGATTGAGGCGTCCGATCTTATCACAATGCTTGGTAGGACATGGACCAGATTGATACATATCGTTCCACAAAAATACTGAAATACCATGCCGAATGCACCCAGTACAGTATTCACCTGAACACAGGGTAAACCAGTTGTTGCGATAACCCTAAATGCTGAACGTTAAGCAGGGAATATCAACTACTACTTGTATGTCCCGTTTTCGGACAGCAAAGCAATAAATAAAGTAATTCATGACACCATATTACGAGAATTTTTAATTCGTGATATTACAGAGTGGAAAACAGAGTCAAAATGTTCTTGCAGGATCACTACACATTGTCTTACAGTTCACCTCACATATCTAAATAATACAAAAGCGTTTTATTTACTGTAATATAAATAAATTACAATGAATTATTAAAACTGCTCCGAAATTGTTTTAAAATGTCTACCCGTTCAGACTTGCAACGCTCGTGAAAGAAACGTTAAAGATGCGTATTTCGCGCATCAAATTAAGAATTTGAAACCGTGAAATAAAAACAACGTTTGTGAGGTTTATGTTTGGTGTTTTGTCAACAATATCTTATCTGTGGCATTGGTTGGGATATGTCACTCCGTACCGGCGTCTTTATCGCCTTCCGCACTGTTTTTATATACCGAATACACGTAGGAATCCGCCATTTTTATCCGCTTTGGTGACGTAATCGGAGTCGGATCTACACGCAGGATCAGATATGGTTGTTTACGGAGGAGGGGGAGGATGTGATGTAATACGGAGAGGACATGTGTAAATATAGCTGTACTCACAAGGAGTCAAGTAAATAATATTGTATTTCCTTGTCGACCCCGTGTGACAGGATTCAAATGATGTAAAATGCTGTCAGTTAAAAAAGATAAATTGTGTGGTTTTTATAATGCCAAGTTCATCGGGTATAGTTTATAGAAGTCATGTTTAAGAAAAACGCACTAGGGCAGTAGGGGTCTTTCTCGGGGTAATAAGGACATGTAAAGTAGCTCAAGAGTACGTCTATATGATGGATAGACTGGCCTCCGTCTCTAGAATATTGAACTATTTAGAAAAAAACAAAAAAACTCTTTTAACTAAACTAGGGGGAGATGAGCTAGTAGTAAAATGCAGTTGAGAAATTCTTCATAAAAACTTCGGGGCCAGTAGCCAGTCTTACATGATGGATTGTTAGCCGAAATTCCGTTATTGGCAACTATTCAAAAAAAAAATACAACACAAATTGTCCCGGATGTTGAAAGTTCACTTAAAACTACCAAATTATCCGTCACTAGTGTGTTTACTGGTGTAGCGTCCGTGTTTTTGTACATATTTGTAAATTGTTATTATGCTATTTTGTGAATTATTTATCCTTTACAGACCAATTCCCTGTCAAAATACTGGTACAACAAAGCCGACCTTCGCCCCAAGCCTGTGTACCGAACCTCTCTATTACCAGATTTATTTCCCGTTAGTCACATGCTATTTTCACTCACGGTGGCGAGTTCATGGGAAACAATTACATCATTACGTCGATCAGTGCATTTGTCAATTTTTGTTTGGTTTCAAAAACCTGATACCAAAACTAAAGCAAAGCAATGGTTCCATACAGCAACAACAATGGCACCATCCAACAACAACAAGGGCACCATACAGCAACAACAATGGCACCATACAGCAACAACAATGGCACCATACAGCAACAACAATGGCACCATACAGCAACAACAATGGCACCATACAGCAACAACAATGGCACCATACAGCAACAACAATGGCACCATACAGCAACAACAATGGCACCATACAGCAACAACAATGGCACCATACAGCAACAACAATGGCACCATACAGCAACAACAATGGCACCATACAGCAACAACAATGGCACCATACAGCAACAACAATGGCACCATACAGCAACAACAATGGCACCATACAGCAACAACAATGGCACCATACAGCAACAACAATGGCACCATACAGCAACAACAATGGCACCATACAGCAACAACAATGGCACCATACAGCAACAACAATGGCACCATACAGCAACAACAATGGCACCATACAGCAACAACAATGGCACCATACAGCAACAACAATGGCACCATACAGCAACAACAATGGCACCATACAGCAACAACAATGGCACCATACAGCAACAACAATGGCACCATACAGCAACAACAATGGCACCATACAGCAACAACAATGGCACCATACAGCAACAACAATGGCACCATACAGCAACAACAATGGCACCATACAGCAACAACAATGGCACCATACAGCAACAACAATGGCACCATACAGCAACAACAATGGCACCATACAGCAACAACAATGGCACCATACAGCAACAACAATGGCACCATACAGCAACAACAATGGCACCATACAGCAACAACAATGGCACCATACAGCAACAACAATGGCACCATACAGCAACAACAATGGCACCATACAGCAACAACAATGGCACCATACAGCAACAACAATGGCACCATACAGCAACAACAATGGCACCATACAGCAACAACAATGGCACCATACAGCAACAACAATGGCACCATACAGCAACAACAATGGCACCATACAGCAACAACAATGGCACCATACAGCAACAACAATGGCACCATACAGCAACAACAATGGCACCATACAGCAACAACAATGGCACCATACAGCAACAACAATGGCACCATACAGCATGGCACCATACAGCAACAACAATGGCATCATACAGCAACGACAATGGCACCATACAGCAACAACAATGGCACCAAACAATGGCACATACAGCAACAACAATGGTACCATACAGCAACAACAATGGCTCCATACATCAACGACAATGGTACCATACAGCAACAACAATGGCATTATACATCAACGACAATGGCACCATACAGCAACAACAATGGCACCATACAGCATGGCACCATACAGCAACAACAATGGCATCATGCAACAACAATGGCACCATACAGCAACAACAATGGCACACTACAGCAACAACAATGGCACCATACAGCAACAACAATGGTACCATACAGCAACAACATTGGCTCCATACATCAACAACAATGGCTCCATACATCAACGACAATGGCACCATACAACAACAACAATGGCTCCATACATCAACAACAATGGCACCATACAGCAACGACAATGGCACCATACAGCAACAACAATGGCACCATACAGCAACAACAACGGCACCATACAACATCATCCCAGCATGTTTCTGGCAACAATGGCACCTTACAACAACGACAATGGCACCATACAGCAACAACAATGGCACCATACAGCAACAACAATGGCACCATACAGCAACGACAATGGCACCATACAGCAACGACAATGGCACCATACAACAACAACAATGGCACCATACAGCAACAACAATGGCACCATACAGCAACAACCATGGCACCATTCAGCAACGACAATGGCACCATACAGCAACAACAATGGCACCATACAACAAC